TTCTGCAGCCCCATCGACAATTGAGTTTCCGGTCTGATCGGGTGAATACTTCATTGAAGATCTAAATTCCGAGCGGCTTTAGCACAGTGATGCTCAACTCGCGGCCCGTGAAGACTTTTTTTTCTGACTCCTTGGATGCCTCTGGTCTCTAAAAATCCATATTTATTTGCGGCCTAGGGCCATGATCGAGGGACTGCGGCCCTCGAACATGAGTCAAAATCTCAATTTGGCCCATTTTGGGAAAAGATTGTGCCTTCCCAAGGTTGTGGGAAAGGGGTTGGGTCGCAAATCAATGCTTTCAAAGCGTGACTCCGTTCTTGTGACTCAAACTCACATCAAAAACATAAATTAGATGGGCATTACCAAGGCCTGAAAAAAGAAGTGCTGACATCGGTGGGTAGTGCCAAATAGGGCAGTGAAATCGCCTGAGGTAAGAGGAAAGTAAAACCACCTGTTGCAGGCGAATGAGGAATATAAAAAAATAATTCTCAGGATTTTGAGGAGTGAAGGGATAGAAAATTAAAAAAAAAGAGGAAAGTGTCTCCCTATTTCAGTCTAAAAAAAAAACCGGATCTAAATGACTAGATGGAAGGAAAAGGGGGAGAAGGGGAGTACCAGACATGTCCTGGCAGGAAAGGCTGGGGGGGGGGGTTGGTTGTGCAAAAAAATTTTTGCGTGCGTCCTGTTGTCTGCTCACGTAGTTCTCCCCAAGAAAGCCAAAAGTAAACAAGGAAAAAGTCCTACAATTTGAGGATTGAAATGCCAAGAAAGGCGATTGATGTCTCGTCTGAATCGTAGACGATTTCGCCACATGATGTAGGAAAGTAATCTGCAGTAGTTATCGAGGAAGGGGGAAACGTGACTGAATTGATTTTTCGAGGAAGCATCAGTGAAGACCTCACAGGTCAGAGGGAAGTAGACTCATTGGCATGCATGTGAGAGGGGAAGAAATCTTGGTCGTTGCTGATAGGTCGATGTTCATGAAATCATCACATTTCCCTTGTTCCTGAGAGATCCAAACTTGAAGGTGGATATGTCTAAAAGATCATCCGCGCCCGCAAAGACGACCACACACACCTGACTTTCAAGCAGATTTTCAAATTCTACGCGAGCACTGCCGATAAAATTTGGACGCCTCGTCGTAGCAAAAAGGAAATATTGTAATAGGCTTAACTCATACGCGGGTTTCTGGGCACGCCACTTGTAACAGACTTGGGAATAAGAAAGGAAAGGCGCAGGGAAAGGAGATTTTCCCAAAAGCCGTTCCCCAAACCGAACACGTGATGGCACGATCAAGAATTTTACATCACTGCTTGAAAGCGAATTCGCGAGAGAGGAGACCAATTTCAAATTGTTTCATGGGATGATGACGGGCATGTCAGCTTTTAATGAGACCTACTCGAATCGCGACCTATGACCTGACTTGAACCATCCCAGGGGAATAAAGGCAGAGAATTTGGCGTTGACTCATTGTTCTGTGCGTGTTAAAAAACTTTTGGTGAATTTGTACAAGCCAATGAAATGGTCATGTAGAGGTGGATATCCTACTCGAAACGCTTATATTGAACGAACTCTACCGAGGGAACCTGTGCACAGATCGCTAAAATAAATGTTTCCATGCATCCATATCGATCTGTCAGAGAACATTTGAAAGATTTCCATATTTAAGGCGGATCAGGGAAGCAATGAGACACGAGCATCGACTCCTATCCATCGAACTTCCAAGAATTCTGTCATAATTTTCTTTCACTTTCAGACGTCTGGCGATGCATTCTGGTGAGGGTGTTGTCAAGGGTCGGAGCGGGGCAATTTTTCTTTAAAAAAAAAAGGGTGACTTTGAATAAACATTTCGAAGGAAGGAACTCTTGTAGTTATCGACACGGTCGAGGCGTCCTGCGATCTAGAGGCTCTTCCCCATCGATATTTGCTTGAAGGCGAGAAAAACGGAAAAAAAAGCATACTGAGTAGCGTTTTTTTTTTGCCCCAATTTCGAGTACATTCTGGTACTTTCCTTCAAGATGCTCGGTACAATGTCCATGGGATTTAGTACACGGATCGACCGAGAGGACCTATAAAATCGCACGCATGCTTTTCTCTCCGCTGGATCTATGACCGGAATGGCGGTCGGAAAACTGTTCTTGAATATTCGACGACTCCCAGTCATGTGGCCTCGTGACCTTTGACCTCTGAGTCAGCTTGAATTATAACCCCTCATTCAAAAGTATATGATCTTGGGTTTTTGAAGACCTTTTTTGCGGGTTCCCAGACGGTCGATTTTTCCTCCCCTATTAACTTGACTCGAATTCTGATCGGAAGTTCCATGGATAGGAGTCGATGCTCGTGTCTCATTGCTTCCCTGATCCGCCTTAAATATGGAAATCTTTCAAATGTTCTCTGACAGATCGATATGGATGCAGCAGTGTCAGGTAGTGGCTACTTTGGCTTCATCTGGCTTCGGTTGTGTCTTTGTTCTAGTCCCGGGTCGGTTGGATGGCACGGATATACATGAAGAAGAGTATTTGAAATCGATATTTGAAATCAAATCGATGTATGCTCGAGTTCAAGCTCCGGAAAGGAGGAGATGCTGAATGACATTTCAACTCTAGTACAACGTGACGCACGAGCGTATTTTCAACGTTGAGCTGTGTTTCATTTCAAAATTTAATCCAATTTTTACGCACCGCTGTGCCAACGTTGCAACGCTGAAAATCAATCCTGGTTCAACGTTGATCCGGCGTTTTGTTCCGACTGGAATGGGAAAAGCCTTATCTCACAAGCGATTATCGAAATTAACGCGCACGGCACGAACACAGACTCTGATCGGCCAGAGCTGCCTTTGTGGTCTCATGGAAGTTTCAGAATGTTCTAGAAATTTCTGGGGGGGGGGAGACCTTTGACGTGTACTGTATACGTACTACCTTCCTGCTGTTGAAATGTAGTATTCCTCTTTTATTTTAATTTCGCACGAGTTATTCATTCTATGGAGTTGAACACATCCTGAAAATTCCAATAGCTGCGTAGTTTCTTTCCCTCTCTGGAGTCGGGAGTCGGAACAGATTTAGAGTGGGGAAATTTCCTTCGCATCCGAATCTAACTCTTATAAGACACATCTCACTCTGAACATTCTTCCGAAATCGATGGCATTCTCTTCTGGGTGAATTTTCAATTGAGTCAAGTTACGAGAAGTCCAACCATCCTCCCACCAACCTCCCACCAGCCTCCCACCAACCTCCCACCAGCCTCCCACCATCCTCCCACCAACCTCCCACCAGCCTCCCACCAGCCTCCCACCAACCTCCCATCTGTAGTAGATGTTGCTTCACTCAAAAAATCACCTGGCTATCACTTGTCCAACGGTTTTTTCAATAGGTGTCCAAGGACTTTTGAGTCACCCTGTATGAATGCGTTCACATGCCGCAAATGCATAAATAAGGCGATGACCTTAAATTCTATTTACCGATCTTCTATTTATTCCAAATTCTATTTACCGGAGTGGCTCTATGTCAGCGGATCCATTATCTGGGGTACGCTCAGTGGCGTAGCGTGTTGGCTTGGGCCTTGGTGCAAGGAATGAAACGGGGCCCACTCCAATTTCTTACTATTAAATTATGTGGAAGTCATATTTTGTTTGCTAGATTTTCTCACGCAGCATCGTTGGTTACTGAAATCAGTGTGGAAGGCAGTGGCTACTTTGGCTTCATCTGGCTTCGGTTGTGTCTTTGTTCTAGTCCCGGGTCGGTTGGATGGCACGGATATACATGAAGAAGGCGTCGCTCTGATGTTCAACTGATGTCCAAAAGCTGCTCATGCGCGAACATTGGACGTCCGAAAACCTGTTTGAAAAGGGGTTGAACGTCCTCGAAAACTTTTACGCACTTGGGTGGATCCAGAACCTAAATCCTTTTGCATTTCTGAACCATTTGTCTAATTTGTTTTATGATGAGGTTCATTTGATCATTTTGGGTGTTTCAACAGTCGATCTTAGAATCGCCTTCAGAATTAAATGAATTAGACGTGGATTTTTATTTATTATTTTTATTTTTAATGCATTACATTCGGTAAAGGCCAGCCCGCGATAGATTGCGAAACACAAAAATCTCGTCGTCGAGCAGTATTTTTAAGTCTCCAGTGTTTTATCTCTGAGGTGCAGTTCATCTCGGCCCCCAACTGTTACTTTTCCCCGGAAAATCTGTCCCAAGGACCTTGACGAATCCCTGGGAATCCTGTCAGCAGAATCAGATAAGAAACGGCCAGTCTGACTTCTAGGGTCGGTTGGAGCCTCAGCGGCACCCAATAAGGGGTGGAGGGGGTGGAGGTGGTGGAGGGGGGAGGGGAGGGGAGCGAAAGCCAAAAAATAGAAGACTTGGTAAGAAACTCGTATTTTATTGGGGGCGTTCTCATTGCAGTCAAATAATGTGTATGTAACAATAATATAAGAAACCTTTTGCTGGTGAGGAACCCGAAGTCTTCCACCAGTGAAGGCACCGGAAAATTGGTAATTCCAAATTTAAAAAATAAATTCAGGGAAGGCAGAAAATGTCACCTACATGCACTTACAAGTTCGGATTCAATTAGTAGGAGGATATCTAGTAATAATAATAATCTATAGAGTTATTTTTAGCAATGAAGGAAACGTTCTTACCTGTCACCAACAAAAACAAAAAAAAATTTTTCATAAGCGTGTGTGTCGAAATAAAAAAAAATAAAGCTTTTTGATACGGAAAGAAGAATGATAAGGTCTATGTGGGACAGTCCGTATCTGACTTCAGTCCATCTGCATCTGACGAACTTGGAGGATCTGCGTAGTTATTTTAACCAGTGAGACCTGATTCGGCTAAAAACTCGAATCATGTTGTCGATCGAGGTAGGCAGTTTAGGCTTATTATTATTTATTTTTTTTTGGTCGAGATCAGAAATGGAAAATTTATCATGTCTCCATTGGTTGCATCGTGCAGCATTTGCTCCTTCTGCAGTCCTTGCTCTGGGCCGTCATGATTCCAATGGCACACGCGGAAGACCAAGAACCCCGCTGCGAGCCCGACTGGATCCGCTTCCAAGACTCTTGCTATTACTTCGCCGACGCGAAAATGACTCAGATCGAGGCAAGGAGCTTCTGCCTGGATCACGACGGAGACCTGGTGAGCATTCACAGCCCGGAAGAGCAGATATTCGTCGAAGACAACGTGGTCTTTCTCAACACCTGGATCGGGGCATATTTGACCGGATCTCTGAAGGACGATCCTTGGAACTTCGAGTTTTACGACGGCTCTTCGAAGGATTACCATCAAATTCCGATCGATCATGACTGGCCTTTCCGCCCAGGAACTGCCGGTGAAGGATTAGTTTTGAGGCCGTTTCTACTGAAGAATGTGGATTGTTCGTTGAAAAAGAGGAATTTCTATTGCGACGGTGCTTTTGTTCCTCCTAATTGCTATTGCCAAAGTGGTTTCGATCACCCGGCCGATAGATGTTTTAGGGAAGGCGCTGAAGCAATGACGCTTGACGATGCAAACGAACATTGCCATAGTTTTGTTGAACCATGCGAGTATCACGCGGCTATCCTGCATCATGAACAATATAACTTGAAGGTTTTCTCGGGAGTATACTTGCGCGATAGAGAAGACGACGGCGATCCTCCCGGACGATTCTGGGTCAACCTGATAAGAAACCCGGAAACCGGAGATTGGGAGACGATGGGCGGGTCACATCCGAATGTGACTCATTGGCACTGGGACGGATATCCGACCGAGGATGGTGGCGATTGCGTCACTACGTTCGTCTCTTCCTGGTTTCCTGAACCTGCAGCAATGCTATACGGACTGATCTGCAAGAAACCCCTTGCTTGATCTCTCTTGTCGCATGCATTAGAACCTCTATGTCATGGTTCAGAGGGATCAGATACTGAAATAAAAGGATTTCTATCTCTACTTCCTTTTTATGGGCGAAGCTTACCGTATAATATTCGCTCATTGATTGCGATGCGTGATACAGGCAGCCGGCCGCGAGAAAAGCAAAACCACCAGTGCCTGACGTCGAACTCAATTTGGTTACTCCTTGTCGCCCCTTCCCCATCTGAATGCATTCAGGTTTTTCTTTCGGTGTAAAATCGAAGCCGATACAAGGCGTAAGTTGATGTAATGTTCCAAATATGAGACGTGCTGCTGTTCTAACTGCCGTCACCGCCGAGTAACGCAAGATATTCCAGCAACATTTAAGAAATGTCGATGAACAATGTTGCTTCTACGTGTAAATGTCCAAAGCGTCGACGTTGCTCAAATTTTGCGGAAGTACATTGTATTGACGTTGCAAATCGTTACTTTATTCATTACGCAAACGTTGCAGAAACGTTTCAGGACTTAAATTTCTGCAATGTTGATGGAAAACGTTGCTTTACCGGTTCCAAATATGGACCTATATTGGCATTGCTACCTGGAAAAGCACTTCACAGGCCCTGAACTGGACCGATATTCTGCCAATATTGAATTATTTCTTTCCATTATTTACTTTTTCTTTACCCAGACGTTCCCATCAACAGGATGAAGTCTGTACTGGTATAACTCCTGCCCATGCATAATACAGTATCTGTATCATGTATGGGCAGGAGCCATAGTACATTTTTGGAGGTAATCTTTCCCTGGATGTGCTAAATATGGCACATTTCAAGGAAAGGTCCGCCCGCAATGCTCTAAAGAGTGTCCGCGAGTTCAGTCATTTTCCTCATCTAGTTCTCAGGATGAGGAAATGAGGGACTGAGATCACAGACTCTCTTCCATTGCTTTTCATCTTCTGCAGGATGAAATCGACGAATTCTTGGAATGGGTAATTTTTGGGAATATGAGCTAGTTTTTTTTTTTTTATCTGGACCCCATGAATCTGTATCGAATATGAGGGTAATAAGCGATGAAGTGTCCATGTTCATCGATTCCTTTAATGAGACAATGAGGGACATATGTCAAGGTACCAAACGTTTCTGTGCGGGACGATTCCAGGGAAAGAGGGAAGGGCACTTTTGTGTTCTGTGAGGAAAGCGAGACCTACGCCTCTGTCTCGGGGCAGGGAGGATAACTTTACAATTTCCTAAAATTCTGAGTCCATGTTGTATCGGAATGTCGTTGCTACGTTGTCGATGTCAAGAGTCGTAACATTCTCTCAACATGTTGATAGCAAATGTTGCAGTAACGTTCGTAGAAGCGTCGAAGCAACATTCCAAGTGGAAACGTTGAAGCAATGTTTTATCAATGTTGTACATCGACATGCACTATAGAGCAACATAGGCAACATTTCGGAAACGTTTCATCAGCATACTGTGTTACTTGGATAGATCTGACAAATAAGTTGGGTTCAGACTTCTTGAGGCAGATGCTTAGAAGTCTGAAGTTCATTGGTGTCCTCAGAAAATTTGAATTTGGGGAAAATGGAAGAGTTTCCTACATATGTAGATTGGTCCAAGAACAGCGGAAGAGATGGAGGGACGAGACCAAGTTCGTGGAGACTGCGTGCTCGGTCTAGTGCTAGACTTAGAGGGGTGTTGCACTAAGCGATGCCCTAGCGAGTACTCGCTAACGAGTGGAGTTTTACACTAAGCGAATGGCCCTAGCGAGTACTCGCCTAGTGTAACAGGGCCTTTAGCGCGAGTGATGACTTCTTGCCGCCCCCGGGGATAATCAGATAGTGGTGGGAGGGCTGGGCAGATCGGGAAGGCCAAGATGGTCCTGTTACGACTGACGACAGGGAAAACGGTATGCAGATATGAGTCTACCGGCTGAAGGCCAAACTTGATTGATTTCCTCGGGAAAATAAAGATTGTGTCAGCGAGTGAACTTTTCCTTATTGCAGAAGTTGTTCTTAGCGCGGTAACATGTCAATAGTGTCGTTATGCCCGAAGGATTGAGTATTGGTAAATAGTACCAAGGACATCTAGGATTGGGTTCGCGATTTTTCGTGATTTTCACTCCTAAAACCGCCGTTATATCAGCATGAATGTGGCCAATAGGACCAGAGTTTCACTCGTCTGTCGTCCGCTTTGGAGTTCATTTCCCATAGAGTGCTTCCACTGAAGAGATAGGAATGTATATATGTAATGTATGTATGTAATGCATATATAATTTTCGCGAGAGATTCCAGAGAAGTTTGCATAATCTCAGAATCTTATATCACCCATGAGTGACATTTAAAAAATAGGCAGATTTCGTGAGTCGATGCCTGCTGCAGAAAATACGTTAATCACCGGTCCCAGCACAGCACCGTAAATTTGGACATAACAATTTCACCCTTCCGACCCCAATGAAATCCCATGGACAAAGCTTCCCATCGGGCTGGGAAATGCGGAAGGAGGAGCGTCCTTTCTGGATGCATTCGCTTTCAGACGGAGGAGGACGGAGGGGGAAGGAGGAACCTGGGATTCCCTCCTCAGGAAGGAACGGCTTCTTGCAGAAATCGCTTCTCTCATCATGACAATGGGCGTGAGGGAAGGCCGGTGTGCTGCGTGGAATGAATTTAGCAGCGATTTTGCCCCAGTTTCGTTGCTCGCTACATTCTCAAGGGTGTTAGTATGGTATTGTGAATAAACCACATCGTATTCTACTGGGTGTCCCATAAATACATGACAGGGTCGTAGAATACTTTCCCGACCGGCTAGCAGGACCTTTTTTTTGTTAAAAAATAATTTCATTCCAGATTAATTTTGGAAAATTTCAGACATTTTCATTGACTTTTCGAAATTTCACAAGGATTTGAATTTTAGATTAAGATTATGAGTTTTGATTCGGAAGAATACCCGTGCGGCAGATCGTCTTCAAGCAATCGCTTTTCGGAAAGCTCGTGACGCTGGATCATCGTTCGTCAAATGCAAATGGGTGACCAATGCTCTTCACCGTTCCGTGGAATGGGTGACCAAAACGTGGACAAGGCAAACGGCCCATCAACAACAACAACAACAACAACCAAAACGTGGAGCGAGAGGCCGGGCGACGGCTTCGCTGACTTTACGACTTGCGGCCGTTCCATCGGTCTTTCGCGAGAAAGTGAGGCAATCGTCAATGGATTCAAGTCGTTCCACGTCATCTTGAAGACCGACCTAGTTCGCGAAGATCGCCTGTTTCTTGCAGACTTCGATGAAGTTGATTTCTTGCACTTCGCGTTCGGTGATGAGTTTTTCACTCACGCAATCAGGAAGCCGGACGATCAGAATGACTGATCTGGGCCAATGAACTTTCTGGTATCACAGAAGAGCGTTTTCGAAAAGTGAAGAATCCCGTTTGCACCGGCATTATTCGTGATGTTCACTGCAAAGCGCCTTCTGTGAATAAAGGTGAATCGTGGGAATATTCCCGTGAAGTCGTGCCGGAGCAGAACGTTTTCCCGTTTTTGAAGGAGGAAGAGAACGTGCCGGTAATCGGGGTAATCCATGATAAAGCACCCTGCGAATGCTACCCAGAATCGGATTCGGGCGAGAGAGATTCAATTCTGGCGAAACGATATGGGGCCGGGCGATTCTCCCGATTTAAATCCTCGGCGAGATCGTCGAGAACCGCGTGGAAGAGGGAAAATGTTATTCTGAAGCGACGCTCAAGAATAACGTAGTTCTTCAAGAGCTTGAACATGACACCGGTCTCTTCGAAAGTCTTCTCTGCTCAATGCCCAAGCGCATTCGAGCCGTGATCGAGAACAATGGTGGCCATGATGACTTTTGAGTTTTCGTGTTTTTGAAATAAAATTTAAATCTTTGTAACTTTTCGAAGAGTCAATGAAAATGTCTGAAAATTTGCCAATAACTTTGGAATTAAATTATCTTTCGAAAAAAAAAAATCAAAACAAATCTGCTAGCTGGTCGGGAAAGTACGAGGGTTTTTTGAAAAGTCCCCAGAGTTGCCTGGTGACCGTTGCGCAAGTCGGACGTAGTTTTTTTTCCCTGTTTCCTTAAACTGTCTGTGACTAATCGACAAGTTTTTATCCCCCCAGGTCGTCATGGAGACAAGAAAACGAAAAAGTAGTGGTGATAATCCGCCTCATTTTCCGGTTCTGACTAACGAACTCGTTCGATCATTCAGTCTACAACTTTTTGCTCGGTTTAAAAGCTAAACCTCGCTTGGATGAGTTGAAAACTGTGCTTGGGGACAAAGCTCCGTCTCTGGAGACTGTCAAAGTGGTTTCGAGGATTTCAAACTGGACACTTTAGCGTCCGGGACGGCCCCGAAAGGCGACTGATAGACAAACAGTGGCGGCTGTGAAGGCGGCGGTCGACGAAGACGGTCGAATGACACTGGAAAAATTTGAACAGACTCTTGGAATAAAAGCCAACTCAATTTGGCGCATTTTGACTGAAGATCTTGGGTATGGCAAGAAGGCGGCCAGATGGGTGCCTCGTTTGCCATTTGTCATTCGACCGTCTTCGTCGACCGCCGCGAGGTTTAGCTTTTAAACCGCACAAAAAGTTGTAGAGAATGAACGATCGAACGAGTTTATTAATCAGAACCGGAAAATGAGACGGATTAGCACCACTACTTTTTCGTTTTCTTGTCTCCATGATGACCTGGGGGGATAAAAACTTGTCGATTAGTCACTGACAGATTACGGAAACAGGGAAAAAAATTACGTCCGACTTGTGCAACCAGGTAACTCAGGGGACTTGTCAAAAACCCCTCTTACTCTACGACCCTAGTACGAATTTGAGATACCCTGTACTCTATTCGAGTTAGACCGAAAATTGGTATCCCGCTTTAACGGAAATGCAAGATTTGATTTCGGTGCGTTCGAACCAACTTAGTGATGACAGATATATGAGTTCTTATAGCTCTGTTTTCTCTTTGCTTCGTTCCTCCCTCAGCTTCACACATCTTGGCGTGTT